ATCTGAGAAAATTGCAATGTGGGTATTGGGTTCCATGACCCTTTTCTACCAATCAATTGTATAAAATCTAAATATAATTCAGAAAGCAGTATGATCTGTTGTGAACTGAACTGTGCCCCCTCCAACTTAATATGCTGAAGCCCTAACCCCAGTGTGACGGTTGCTGGAGACAGGACATTTGGGAGATAATCGGGTTTAAATGAGATAACGAGGATGGGGGCCTGCTGACAGGGTTAGTGCCAAATGAAGACATAGGAAGAAGGCGGCCGTCTGTAAGCGAGGAAAGGAACTCTCACCAGAACTCAACCATGCTGACCGATCTCAAACTTCCAGCCTCCAAAACATGAGAAATTAAATTTCTGTTGTTTAAGGTGCCCAGAGTATGGTATTTTGTTGTTGTAGCTCTAGAATACGAATACACGAGCCTTTGAAAAGGTTAAAGATCTGGTATCAAGAGACCTCTATTCTAGTCCATTTTGTTACTGATTTGGCAAGGGAAAAGTTAAAGTACAGAAAAATCCTGAACATTTAAAAGGAGTCAATACTAATTGCCACTGCTAGTTATATGGACATTAATAGAAATTATTTTTTAAAAAGAAGAAAACGGCAACCAGAAAACAGGAATTCTTTAGTTTGCCTCCAACCCACCTTTCGAGTTTACTGTCCTGACCTCTCGCTTTTCCTGATCACTGACTCCTGAGCTACATCTTACCAGTCAGTTCCATCCACTTCTCACCAGCTCTCTGCCCCAGGAGGCTAACCCACGTGCCCCATAGTCCCTAGAAATCTGGCTTCTTATTGGGTGGGCCAATGTTGAACCACAGGAAGAGGTCAGAAACAGGAAGGAGTGTGGGAGATGAGAGAATCTGTCTCCTTTTTCCTCTGGCTCCTTTCCTGCAAGGTTACCATGAATTAACTGTTTCTCTCAGCAAGACTCGGTGTTCCTCTCAAGATGGTTGATTCTGTCTCCCTCTGGGTTCTAGGAATCGATCCCTGTTCCATATGGCCTAGGCAAGGAAACAATTTGGGTCTTACTAAGTTCCCTCACCCAACCCTACTCTTAATTCTAGAGTGGCTCCCTTGTGTGTTGAACTTTGAAAACAGCATTTGGGGCGGGGGGTGGGGTGGGAAACTGTTCAAACTGTCCTATTTTCCATGTGCCATTTACTTCCTGTTGAATCTTCAAGCGAAACACACACTTCTATTCGCACAACATGCCCAGGTTAAAATACCCCTTTTCCCTCTATCTCTCTGGTCAACTTCTAAACATGTTACCAAGTAGGCTTGAATGTCACTGCCCTTCTGTTATTTCTCCTATTACCATCACAGAACAAATAAACTGTTCACTAAAATTTTGCTACAATAGCACCTTATTTTTAAAGCATGCGCGCGCGCACACACACACACACACACACACACACACAGTCCCTATGTATATAAAACAATTCGACCCGAGCATCTCAGGTCAAGGATAGCACCTGACACAGCATCTCAATAATTATGTAAATTCCTACAAGAAAACTTACAAAGTTGTTTTAATATAATTTTATTAGAGGTATATATTTTAAAATACTCAACAAAAAAAAATACCTACACATAAATTAGTTTGGCTATGTGTCCAGAAGAAAAATTATTAAAGACACAAGTAGCATTTCTCATTATCCCTCAGGAACATAGTCTTCTAGGCTTTTCTTTTATCTTTATAGCCTTAAAGTTTAATTCACCTTAGTACATTACTTTCTTTTTTTTTTAGTAAATTTATTTAAAAACATGAAAAGGAGATATTTACATGACAATGTAAGTAATGAGGTATCATCTTCCAAATTGTTCAGTTGAAAAGACTAGTGTTTTGCAAGGAAAACAAAGTTATTATTTCAATGGTAGGTAATATTCATTTTTGAGAATGGTTATCAGATAACTCATAAGAGAAATATCCACAAGTGAGTTATAAAGGTCAATCCCTTGTGGACTGAAATAAAATTTCAAGTTCAATTTAAAACAAGATTTTTAATTACCAAGGTAAACTATCTAGGGACAATTTCAGATTGCAAGGCCAAAAACCTTATGTTAGTTGATTTTTTTTAATAGAAAATTTAACCCCACTCCCTGAAAGAAAAGCTGATACATCATTTCCCATAAGTGAAAAACTAATTATATCACCATATTGACATTATAATAGCATCTAAATGCTTCCTCAAAATCTGAACCATCTAAACACTATAAGTGATACTTTGGGCCTAAATTTCCAGTAAATTAATCCACATTGAAATCCTTAGCAAATAATAATTAAGAAAGATTACACAACAGTTGACTTGATATTTTCTGAATGTTTATTTACTGCTAGATACAAATTTTTCAAGCCAAGTAAAAAGAGAAAAGATGTTTTTGAAAAAACTTCTCTTTGATTGTTTCATTTCATCTGGGTCAAATAAATTTATGAAAGAAAGCATAGTATAGTACATAGTATCGAAAGCACCTTTATCCATTTGGACTGGTATAACAAAACACCAAAGACTGAGTGGCTTACAAACAGCAGAAATTGATTTCTCACAGTTTGGAAGCTCGAAGTTCAAGGTCAGCTCCCAGCATGGTCTGGTGAGGGCCTTCCTCCAGGTTGTAGACTTCTGGTTATAGCTTCATATGGCAAAAAGGGCTAGAGATCTCTCTGGACTTATAAGTTCACTAATTCTATTTAAAGAGCTATACCCTCAGGACTCATATACCTCTCAAAGCCCTAGTACCATCACCTACTATGATATGCCATCATATCAGGAATGAGCATTTTAACATATGATTTGTGAGGAAGACACAAAACATTCAGACTATGGGATAAAGTATAAAAAGTTCTGGAGTTGGATGGGAGGAGCAAATTTCTATCATTATTACTGTATATATTAATAATCATTCATTCCTAGTAATCATTTTTCCAAGGTATAAAAACAGCAGGGAGTTTGGGATGGACATGTACACACTGTTATATTTCAAATGACTTGCCAACAAGGTTCTACTGCATAGCACGTGGAACTCTGTTCAATGTTTGTGGCAGCCTAGGTGGGAGGTGAGTTTGGGAGAAAATGAATGTGTATAGCTGAGCCCTTTGCCATCCACCTGAAACTATCACAAAACTGTTAACTGGCTATACTCCAATATAAAATTAAGAGTTCAAAAAACCCCACAGCATATGAAAATTAATTCATTCATTGTGTATAATAAAACAGAAACAGACTCAGAGATATAGAGAATAAACTAGTGGTCAGTAAGGAAGAGAGAGGGGGTAGGGAGAAGAGAGAATAGAGATTAAGAGATACAAACTGCTACTTACAAAACAGATAAGCAACAAAGATAAATTGTATAGCACAAGGAAATATAGCCATTGTTTTGTAATAACTTTAAATGGAATATAATCTATAAAAATATTGAATCACTGTTTTATCCCCTTGAAACTAATACAATATTGTAAATCAACTATACTTCAGCTTTAAAAACTGCAAAAAAAATAAATAATTCATTCACCATTTAATGCAAAGAGTAGGTAACATGTCAGAGCTCATAAAATCTAATTTAAGAACAGAAAAAAAATATCTGCAGCACTTCAAAAAATTGTAAAACTCAGTTCTTAAAAACAAAATGTAACAAACAGCCAAAAGACCTAAAACAACAATGAAACAGTGGTATAAGAGTCACCTTGCTTCACAGTTTCCTAAAGTCAGGCCTTACAGCCCATAGGAAAATCAAGCCCTTTGGCTTATCCCTTCAAAGACTGGGCATACAAATGGCTTTAACATTCAGTAAATATTTTTTGAGTGCCTACTCTGTGCCAGGCACTCTTCTAAGCACTGAGAATATACAGTATTTAGCAAACAGAAGAGCAAAGGGCCCTGCTCTTGTGAAGCTTATACTGACTCGGATAAGGGATTATATATATTAAATTTAAATCCCTCTTATTGTATACTGTAACTACTTTTTTTCTCCTTTTCACTTCAGATTAAGAAGAACTCTGGCTGCCATCCCATATTAAAATGTCTCTTTATTCCAGACAATATGCTCTCCTGGGAATATTATGTGTGGCAATATTTCAGTATTTTCAGGTATACTTATAATCTCAGTATTTGTAAGAAAGAAAAATCTATAAAACAAACATCCAATGCATTTCTTATTTTAACTCCAGTTAATACTGTTAAATAACAAATGCCAATAAAAATATAAGTCAGTTACAGGACTTAGTGCTAAATGTGATGAATGTTGTTATATGTCCAAGGAGGGGAAAGAAAGGGACAGGGAAACATTATGTATTTATTTTAGCAATGGGCTAAAATGAAGCAAATGTTAAAGGATCTGAATAGCCTTTTACATAATCAAATCTGTAATCTGTAGTCCAGATTTGGGACCCACCGTTGAGGAGACTAGAGAGGACACTGTTTTGGCCCTGTACATGCTGAATGCAGAGCTACCTAGTCAGCCAAAGAGAGGGCAAATAGAGGTCAGGCAGGTCCTAGGCTAATTCAAGGGGCTTAACAGAGGAGAAGAGGACAAACCAGAGCCCTGAAATCAAAGAGCAGAGAAAGACCAAGAAAAATCATATCCCCAAAATGTATGGGTCTCCAACACAGTATTGCCTCATTCATGCGGCTCATCAAAAAATCAATTATATCAAGTATGTCTTCACAGGTAAAAATTCTCTGCTCGGCTGATGTGAAGACAGGTTTCATTTTTTTAAATCAAACTTTCTGTTTCCCAGGCCGAACTTTGGTAATTATTCAGTCATTCTCCTAAAAGATTTCCAAAGTTGATAACAATACAACTAGTAAGTTCATTAGTTCCCGTCTAACATATTTCAATTTGCTGATGACTTCTCTTAAATTTTCCTCTATTGAAAAATTTACACTGTTTCTCCTATAATTATCAAGCATCAGTTTACATTCTAACATTTTAAATCAAACTCTGCAAACAGGATAAAAAGAAAACAGCAAGCTCGAATGAAAATATGAGGGAGGAAATACCTTTAGTTTGGATCCATGAGGTACTAAGACAGATCTAGCCTGCTTTGGTGGGATATACAGCTCCCATTTTCCAAAATCCAGTCTTTTATATGGGTATGAAAATGGGTTCCAATCATCTGAAATACAATAAGGAAGATCAGTTAAAAACTAATACTCGATAAATTTCAAAGCATAATATACTGCCTACTTATACAGAATCAAATTACCTAAAAAACATTGCTTCTAAGTTGTTAAACAAAATACTAATCATTTAGAAAAAGCAAATTATGCCTGTGCTGAGTTGCTTCAGTCGTATCCAACTCTGCAATGCTATGAACTACAGCCCAGCAGTTCCTCTGTCCATGGGGTTTCCGGGGCAAGGATGCTGGAGAGGGTTGCCATTTCCTTCTCCAGCGGATTTTCCTGAAGTGTGAAGTCGTTCAGTCGTGTCCAACTCTTTGGGACCCCATGGACCAGGCTCCTCTGTCCATGGGATTCTCCAGACAAGAATACTGGAGTGGGTTGCCATTTCCTTCTCCAGGGGATCTTCCCAAGCCAGGGATTGAACCCAGGTCTCCCACATTGCAGGCAGATGCTTTATCCTCTGAGCCACCAGGGAAGCCCGGTCTTCCTGAATCAGGAATGAAACCCACATCTCTTATGTCTCCTGCATTGGCAGGTGGGTTCTTTACTACTAGTGCCAACTGGGAAGCCCTTTGCCTTTTGTATCTGAAAATTAAAATTACAACACATTTTCCATTGTACTTTCAATTCTATTTGATCAATAAATAGGATGATGGGTCCCTTTTCAAGAAACACCATCAAAAAAAGGAGATAATAAGAAAAAATAGAAATGCATTCTATGCAACTAGCTAAGATATATGTCATGGTAGAAAAAAATGATGAAAAATTATTAAAATCATATTAACTAAATCCACAAGTGTGTGTCAGAACTGACTTAAAATCTAAAGAAATGCCTCAAACAAGAAAGGTAGAAGGCTATAAACTATAAGAGTCAAAAGAGAGGTGGACTGAAGATGCTGAAAGAAAGCCAAAATAAACAAAAGACCATAAACACATGGAAATTTAACATGTGACAGAGGTGGCACTATAAATCAATGAGTAAAGGTGTAATAAGTTGTACTGAAATAACTGGTTATCTTTATGAGAAAAAAACAAAACTCTACTTAATAATATACTGAAGAATGAAGATATAATGCTTTAAATATAATGCTTAAATATAATAGATAAAACTGTAAAATTTTTAGAAGAAAAAAACACAGGAAAATATATTTATAATATTGAGTTTGTAAGTGTTTTTAAACAAGACACAGAAGCATGCACACTCACATACACACACAAAACCTTAAGGAAAAGCCTAATAAAGTTGACTACAAAAATTACATACTTATCTTCATACATAAATAAATAGAATGACAAATTATCAACTGGGAAACTATATTTCTAATGAATATTATCAAGAAACAACATCCAAAATATATGAAGATCTATGAATCAATGGGAAAAAGAAAACAAACCAATACAAAAATCAACAGAGATGTTCACGGGAGGACACATGAGTGACCAATAAACATACAATGATGCTCAGGCTTACTCATAATTAAGAATATGCAGCAAAAATACAAAAAGAAAAAAGAATGTCAAACATCAAATTCTATTGTGATTTCCACTGAATAGAGGAAAGAGAACATAGGAAGCTTTAATAATATCTGTAATGTTTTTTTTTTTAGGGTAGGTGGTGTATACTGAGATGCTTATCACATTTTCCCCTATTTGTTTATGCCTGAAATATTTCACTGTTTAAAAAAAATGTAAGCAACCTTATGATGCCATGCACTGTAGTGCTATGAAATTAGATTCTCAATTGAGGAGATAAGAAAAACAACAGGAAACTTGTTTTATTCCATGATTTCTTCTTTTACACGCCAACACTTTCACCACATGTGACTGAAGGTTTTCACTCTCTGCCAATCTGAATGTTACAGGTAGAATGGGAGGAAGAAACAATATTTAAACAGATCCTTCTAAGCATTTTCCACTCTTCCTCAGAAGTCAATCTGAAAATATCTAAAGGCAGTTTATCTTCAGGAACAGCTCAATAAGCTCTATGCTATTATATTCTCCTGCCCCTAAAACATCAAATACATATTTCATCTGTTTATAATATGACATTCCTTTAACACAGTAAAGACTTTCGGGCATAATTGGGGCAGGGAGCTTGAAGTATGAAGATCTAGGTAGTACAGTGCTTTATACATTTACTGAATTTCTTTTTAAGCTAATCACTTAAGACAATTAATAAACTTAAGACATGCAGCAGATCTTTTCATGGTTAGTTAGATTTGAAAATAAAGGGTACAGTTCATTAGTTCATTCATTCATTCATTAAATACATATTGAGTGTTTAATGTAGGCCCTGCTCAATGCCAAAGTGAAAATTAGTGTTCAGAATGACAGTCGTATTTCATTCAGAAAAGGTTAAATTGAGTAACAGCACACCAAAATGAGTAGTAAAATACATAATATAGGATCCTCTAAAAATTCAACTATAAATAAGATTGTTACTTTGAAAGTGAAGCTTTAAATATATGGGAAATTTTCATATGCAGATTTACTTAAAAGCTTTACTCAATAATGCAAAAATAAATGTGGTTTTGAATATTTGTTTTTGAATATCAGTTCAAATAGTTCTTTAGCTTGCAGTCACTTGAGTTTTAAAGATCTATTTAAATGGATAATGCTTTAATATTTGTATAAATAAAACTATTTTTACTGAATCACATTTTCCTTTCAGAGTGTCTCAATTTCCTAACATACATGTTGATTATTTCTAACCCTACACTGTAAAAAAAATGCTTTTTCTATCATTTTAAGAGCTTATTAGCACATCTCCTCTTCATAGAAATTCAGGTGTTAACTTCTACTACAGGTACATTTTTCTTGACGAACCCCAGACTTCAATGAAAAATCTGGACTACCTTCACATATGCGCCAAAAGAAAACCCATCTACCACCCATCATAAGCAACACAGAATATACTACAGGTTTCACACGGGAGAGAGAGGGGAAGGTTTGCAAAGGGCTTACGTGCATGAAACAACTTCAGGTTGTTGCACTGGACAGTTGTCTCCCACATAAATACCTCTTCAGCCACACCACCAGTCTCTTATCTCCTTGATTCCTTCTCCAATCACTGTTCAGCCCTGAATTTTCCTTTCTGTTACTCTTTTATTAAACACAATTGCTTCTTTCCATTTGAAAAATGGACACCGATCAAGCTAACCACTTCTACTGTACTGCAGGCATATGCAAGATTCTCTTTGAATAAAATCAGTTTATCCTTAAAATGATTTTCTAAAAAATAGCTAGTAAGTGGAACTTTTCTCTAGAAGATATAGATATCTAAGGTCCAGGAACATAAAAGTCAGAAAAATCATTGTATTTGGATCTGTTCTCACAAACTCGACATTAAACCCTTAGATAAGAAAGAAGGAACTACTACCACGAAGGTATGTTTAGGTATGACTGTGGGAACTAACTGTGGAAGTATACAATTAAAAATAGGTAAATAAACATTAAAAATCCAATGACTGGTATAAAAATATTAAGTAAAATTGAATGTTTTGTTTTCAAATGAAATTTGCTTTAGAAAAACACAGGTGGCAAGATAATGAGTTCAAGGATACATTTTGGGGAAATTTATGTCTTATGAAATATCATGAAAGTTTATTCCTGAAAATAACTGAAAGTAATATGAATAATGATAAATAAAAGTTAAAGTAATAGAAGTGGTTTAAATAATATAAATAATGATCATTCTAAGGCATATTAGATATATCTAAAGTACATACTTTTAGAACAAGACTACTCATTTTTCATTTTAATCCTCTGTGAGTTTATATCCTGAATCCACAAGATAGAATTAATTTTAATTAAGACAATGCTGATAGTCTGTGTCTCTATGTAGGCCTCAGGATAGGACCAAAAACATCCCATCACCACCTGTGACAATTATTTGCTTCTCTATGAAGCACAGAACTACATATTGAGAGTTCTGTAATTCAGTGGTTCTCAAGCTTTAGTTCATGTCAGGATCACTTGTTAAATCAGATTGGACTGTTTAAAACAGACTGCTGGACCCCACCTTCAGAGGTTTTTGATTCAATATATATGAAGTGTGGTCTAGTAATCTGCATGTTCAACAAGTCCGTGGGTGATACTGACGCTGCTAGTGAGGGTGCATGTGCATGCAAGCTAAGTGGCTTCAGCTATGTCTGACTCTTTGCGAACCTATGGACTGTAGACTGCCAGGCTCAGGGACCACACTGGAAATCAACTTCACGGTTCAGTTACCGACTTCAGGTGTTCTCTGCTCACAGCTTTGGGACTGATTTTCTAGATTAAGTTAGATTTAGAGATTAAAATAATTTTATAAATCAGTAGCTCAAGGAAATTCTGAAATAGAAATTATCTTTAATAATACTTTAAAGCAAATATTACTCACACAAAACCTAGAATTTGGGATTGACTAACATTGTAAAACCCAGAAGGATGACCAGTGAGATGAAGATTACAGAACAGACCCAAGACATTAAGGAATCTGAATGTGTTTGCGTCAGGGAATAAACTTTACAATTTGAACATGAAAAGATAATATATATTAAGATGAGTATTCAATATACTGTTATAAGGGTCTACAGATAATGTTTCCTAAAATATTCTCACTAAGGGATTGCATGGTTAAAATGTATGGGCAATTTTAATCAGAAAATAAATAAAAACCTTGAAGATTCTACCTAGAAAAGTAATATCAACATTTTTAAGTATTAACATATCAAGTCACCTTCCTTTCTATGAGTCATTACCTGCCATAAGCTAGACATCGCTAGGTTTAAGGATTAGGAATCCCTAAAGCAATGTGTGGGGATTCCCTGGCGGCTCAGACAGTAAAGAAAGTGCCTGCAGTGCGGGAGACCCAGGTTCAATCCCTGGGTCAGGAAAATCTCCCTGGAGAAGGGAATGCTACCCATCCCAGTATTCTTGCAGGGAGAATTCCATGGACAGAGGAGCCTGGGGTCACAAAGAATCGACACAACTGAGAAACAAATAATTTGAC